GTCGGGAGCCATCTCCTATCCCTCGGTTGGCGCCACGGGCCGACACATCACGGCCAGCTCGGCCTCGCCCTCGACGGCGCACTCGTGGAGAGAAACGGGGCCCAGGGCCGTAGTAAGCCCTTGCAAACACCACTCCTTATCACGCCATTTGAACCTCATGGTTAAGCTTCGCTAATCTATGGTAACTGGTCCCAAACCTGCAGCCATGGAACGCCCAAAATCATGTCAAACCCACGAATAGGAAGCACAAACAAATCTGTAGTGACAGGCAGCCCTTGAATCTCGAACCGGAGCCCACGATATGCGGCCTTGCAGCGCATAGGCACCCTATTCGTGACCCTGACCACCATCGGCTTCACCGGACTTGGCGCCTGAGGGAGAAGCTTGGCTAGCTCCTCGATTATAAAATTGAGAGTGGCGCCACCAGAGTCAAGGCTATGGTACCCGCGACCTGTGCCTGGAACCGGAGAGTCCCCGGTGTCGGCAGTCCGGTTACTGAATGGAGAGAGACAGACGGAGTCGCCTCAGGCATCCATGTGCTCCCTCCTCCCTCCAACTCGGCGCCCCTCGCCGTTGAGCTCGGCGAATCTCGCCGCCGTGCTGCCCCTGCGCACGCCTGGTCCAGCGGCTCGGTCCGCTGTGGCTCACCGCGATCTCCCTCCTTCGTCGCCCACACCATCCCTCCGTCATCCGCCAAGGGCAGCGGCATCTCGCTCCGCCGCGCCCCCGCTGGAGTCGGCCGGTCCAACGCCTCGGCCTGCCACGTCGTGCTACGCACTGCCATGACCTCCCTGCCTCGCTCACGCGCCGTCCTGGCGTGGTCGGCACAGATGGCGTCGAGTTGTTGCTGCACACATGTCCAGTCCATATAGGAGAGCCTTGATGAGCTTATGTTGGCTTTGATACTAAATGATAGAAGAAGATGAGATTGAGAATTGAGAAGAAGAAGTAGAATTAGGGATTAGAAAGAATTGGGGAAGAACAGAGAAAGAGGGATTAGGGATTTTGATATTCATATTGCTTAATCTGAAAATGAACGTACTGAACCCATTCTAATGAGTTTCATAGAACCGACAAGAAATAACAAAACTGCCACTCAAACCCGGCCCACATGGCCGAACCCAACTCGTCTCCTCCTACCCGCCGAGCGGGTCTCTATCATTGAGGCATTGGAAGTTTTTTTTCCTTATAAATCTTGGTAGATTTACAAGGAAAGGATAAGGGTGGCTACAAAAGATCAGCACACTCACTTATCAAAAGAACATATAGAAAAAGTCAAACAACAAAGGTGGTAAACCAGGAAAGCGTAAGGCTTGTTTCGCCACTGAATGTGCAGCCCGATTCGCATATCGAGGTGTGAATTGTAAAATGACATTTGGCAACTGTAATAATAAGCCATGAACCTCAGAAAAATAGCACTTGCACGAGCGTCAGATAAGTCGCTAGAGACTAATTTGTCAATAACCACCTGGGCATCCCCCGTAAGCAGAACCTCCTTATCATGCCAATGCCACCGTCGAATCAAATACAGCGCTTCCCTTATAGCGAGCAACTCAACCAATCCTGAGTCAGAGATACCGCAGAGAAAAGAACCGAATGCGAAGGACGGAGCAGCTCCTGTATAACCGACTATACCAATGGCGCCAGACTGGTGGTGAGAAGTGGATCCATCAACCACCAAACGAAGGACCTGATAAGCGCCATGTAAAACTTCTGGAGAAGCCATGTTGCGTGGCACCAAGACTGGTTGGGGTGGAGGAGCGACTATGGCGAGGCGGTTGGAATCTTGATGGGAAAGGAATTGACGGCGGAGGACAGGGATAGTGAATTGGGCATACGGAGAAAAAACAACATTATTACACCATTTCCAAAGACGCCAACAAAGAAGGAGCCAATCAGAAATGGTAGGCGGTGTAGCATGGCGCAACAAAGTACGCCAAAACAAAGCAAAATGAAAGGAAGGATCAAAACCCGGGGGGAGAGCGAGGCCAATGGCATTATGGAGGCGGATAGCCACAGGACAATGGATAAACAAATTCTAAAGAGATTTCCCCTCGTCAGAATCAAAGACAGAACATAAAGTAGGAACATCGAGGCCATGACGCTGCAAGTCTTCACGCACAGGCAGAATCCGAAGCAGCATCCGCCAAAGAAAAAACTTGAGCTTTGGCATAACTGGTAAAGACCAAACCTTTGTCCACAAAGAGGGATCAAGAGGAGAGGCAGTGGCCACCGACCCAGAAGGATGATGGGTGGAAAGAGCATTGAGTTTAAGACCAAGGTGATAAGCCAACTTTACCGAAAAAATTCCATTGGAGGTAAAATGTCAAACATACTTATCCGGAGATGATGTGCGGGGTATGGGAATGGCAAGGATTCCGTGGATAGAAGAAGCATCAAAATATTAACATAAACGAGCCTGATTCCAGGTGGAGGTGGTAGGAGAAATAAAATGTGAAACAAACAAAGGAGAAACTTGTACCGAAGGGAGACAAGTAGGACGAAAGGTAGGCAAAGAAGGCACCCAAGGATCACTGAACGCGTCAATGGGAGCATCCCTGACCTCCCATTGTAAACCATGAAGAAGTAATTCGCGGCCATGCAGTAGTGATTGCCAAGCCCAAGACGGGGTAGAGCCAGCATTGGCAGAGAGCAAAGAACTATGGGGGAAATACCGGCCCTTCAACACACGAGCAACGAGAGAGTCAGGAGAATGAAGAATACGCCAACACTGCTTGGCCAATAAAGCTTGATTGAAAGCACAAAAATCCTGAAACCCAAGTCCGCCGGTGGCTTTAGAAAGACACAACTTTTTCCACGATACCCAAGGAATACGTCATTCACTACCCTGCCGACCCCCACCAAAACTGAGCAATCACACGATTAAGATTACGACACAACTCCTTCGGGAGGCGGAAGCAAGACATACCATAAACGGGTAGCGGCGAGACAACAGACTTAATCAAAGTTTTTAATCCTGCCAAAGAGAGACAACGACGTTTTCACCCTTGGAGACGTTTGGCCACCGCCTCCTCAATGTAACGGAAAGTTTCACGCTTAGAACGATGAATAAGGGAAGGGAGACCCAAATATCTATCGCGAAATCCAATGGCTCACACCTAGAGTAGCGCCCCAAGAGAAGAAGCTTCAGTCGTAAGCGTATTCTTAGAGAAAACCAATGCCGACTTGGAGAGATTAACCCGTTGCCCACTCATACACTCATATCGGTGTAGGAGATGTAAGAGAAAATGACAGTCCCTCGTCGAAGCACGAAGAAACAAGAAAGCATCATCCGCGAAGAACAAGTGGGAAAGAATGGGGCAATGATGATTGAAACGCACACCTTTTAGATCACCCCTAGAAATAGCTTGGGAAATCAGAGAAGAGAACCCTTCCGTACAAATCACAAAGAGTAAAGGTGAGAGTGGATCCCCTAGCCTCAAACCCTGTGAAGGAGTGAAGTACCCGTAAGAACTACCATTCAAAAGGACAGAAATAGAAGTTGTGGAGAGACAATTTTGGAGATAGCCAAACCAACGAGAATGAAAGCCAAATTTTTCCATCACGCGAAACAAATAAGACCATTCAATCCGATCATAGGCCTTTTCCATATCAAGTTTGAGAGTCATAAAACGCTCCTGTCCAGTACGCTTGTTCTGAAGATAATTCATAACTTCCTGACTGATGAGGACATTGTCAATAATGGAGCGATCTTTAACAAAACCATTATGGTAAGTAGAGATAATTTGAGGCAGAATTTTGCCAAGGAGATTTGCTAAAAGCTTGGAAATGACCTTGTAGAACACCTAACAGAGACCAATTGGCCGAAGTTGCGCACATGAACTGGCATTCAGAACTTTAGGGATTAGCGTGAGCCAAGTATGATTAAAAGATCGCAAGAGATGGCCTACGAAAAAAAGATTGCACAACCTGGATGTCCGAAGTCCCCACTACATCCCAATAATGATGAAAAAATAGGCATGTGAATCCGTCAGAGCAAGGGGCCTTGGTGGAACCGATTTGGAAGACGGTTTGGCAGAATCAACCCTAGATTGAAGGTGAAGGTTATCGACAGCCTGTTCCGCAGCAACTGGGGCAATTTCCGAAGTGAATAACGAGGTATAATGCGCAACTGCAACTTGCCCCCTGGGATTGTTCGTCGAAATGAGTGTAACAAGCGAGATCCGATAAATTGTGCGCCCGACGAGCCCGGGTAACGCGATGGAAATATGCTATGTTGAGATCCCCACGCTACAAACAAGTGACGCAGGATCGCTGGCGCCAGTATGACTCCTCCTTATCCTAAGCACGCGTTAGATCCCGTTCTAAGTTGCGAATATGATCCCAATCCGGGATGGGAGCTGCTCGTTGGCTACGAAGTTCAACAGAGAGGTCACCAATCCGACGAAGAGAATTGGTAGAGCCCGCACTGACCTATTGGTAGAGGGCATGACGAACACGTTTCAGCCAGGTATGAAGGTAGAACATGGGAGAACCAGGAACATGCAAATTCCAGTAGTAAGTAATGATAAGACGTGCTTCTGGATTATGAATCCATCTAGCATCAAAGCGAAACAAACGTTTAGCCCGACGCTGCCGCTGATGAGGGGACCAAAGAATCATGCGATGGTCGGACCCAATATCACTCAAATGATTGATCACAGAATTGGGGAAGATGTTCAAAACCTCGGGGGGGGGGGGGGGGGAAGAGAAATCGATCTAATCTGGTTTCAATGAGAGCTGGCCCGGAGCTATGATTGGAGAGAGTAAAGGGGTGCCCATGAAACCCAATATCTATGAGGCCCAAGTTGTCAATGAAATCGGAAAAAACAGCAGCAACATGGGGGTCACAAGAAGCGCCACCAAATTTTTCATCGTTATTTAAGACAACATTAAAATCACCAAATATAACATAAGGGAGGCCTATAGAACTTAAATAAGCTTGCAAATGAGTTAATTGAACTAGGCGAGTTGCATCATGGCAAGATAAATACACACCAACTAGTAAGATACTTTTATTTGATGAAATATCCCAACGATAGACAATTACACTAAGGTGATTTATCAACAATCTCACCGCACATAGTAGAATCCCACATAAAGGCTAAGCCACCCGTTGAAGTGAAATGACAGTAGACGGAACAACACATGAATTGGTGAATCCCAAACGAGCTATAATAGAATTACACCGGGATTCATTTATTTTAACTTCACTTAAGAACACAAACTTAACAAATTACGACGAATAGTAGATTGGAGTTCGCGGAATGTCAAAGTACCTCCCATACCTTGACAATTCCAACTCAGTAAAGTCACTAATCACTTGGTGACCATTCCGGGCTGGTCAGTGGTCACCACCACCGCACATCAGCATGAGAAGTCTTCATGTCATCGAGAAGTGAAGCAGCACCCAAAGGAAGCAGAGTGGGAGATGGATTCGGCCCAAGGACACCAGCCGCATCGTCGACCACAGGCAGTGTGGGTTCTGGGCCCAGGCATTCAGAGGGGGGCCCCAACAAAGCAGCCCGCAGTTCAGCAGAAAGAGTCGGACTGGGCTGTTGGCCTGGGTCGACGAGAAATTCCTCAACCTTCAGAGGGCCAAACGCGACATCCAGAGGGCCCAACGCGACATGGTTGCTGCTGTTAATCATCTTTTCACTTCTGCTTCGACGACGTTTATTCAATATATTCCTTTTTTGTTTCAACCGTTGACCGATCGTTGGATTTGGCACTACGAAGCCTCGAGCATCTTCTTCGTCAAGTCAGCTTATCACTTTGGCTTTCCAATTTCAACGATGGCAAGGCGGCAAGGAGCGGTTTGAATATGTGTGAGGTGCTTTTGGTAGAAAGCATCTTATGCCCAAAAAAATATTGGCTTCTCATTTCTCAATGGAGCCACCAAGTAAAGGAAGCTGATTCGACTCTTCTCTAGGAGCGACCTTCATTTGTTTCTTCTTTCGGGCGTCCTTCTTCCATCACCTTACCCTGCAGTTGCTCCTTCCTACGCATTTTGATGCGGCAACTGGGCGTCAAGACTCCTGAACTTCCGCGTCGAGGATTGCTGCATTTGCCATTTGGAAGCCCTGGCACTTCGTGAATGTCTCAGGGAATGTGGTACAAGATGCTTGGGAGGCTTAGCTATTTGTTGCGATGCCAAGGTTTTGATAGACAACTGCAATGCTCGAACTGTTGCGGATGCAAAGATTGGTCCTATTTTGCAGGAAATTGGGTTGCTGGTGGATGAAGTTCAAGTTAGTTCAATCAAGTAGTGTGAAAGTAGTTTTAGTAATCAACCAACCTTAGAATTCACCCCATTTATTTCATATGCAAAGTAACAGGAATGGCATATCTCCTTATTGTCGATGCATATTCACAAAAGCCAGATAGGAGACCACATCAATACAACCCAAGTTCATACACAGGAGCAGACAAGAGAACAATGTGATTCCGAGTAAAATCACGAGACTTCTGATAACAATAGACAATAGTGGGTACCCAGCAATGCACAGCATGAGTGGTTCTTTCTGCAGTCACTTGACATACTTAGCAAACCACTCCAATGCATCCTTATGAGCCTCCTCGGCAGCCTTCACTGCGGCTTCATCTTCAATGCTGTACCTCACAGTCCATCCATGAGAAACTCCGGGGAAAATCTTCACAAACGCGTCGACCTTCGGAAAAGCAAAGGGAAAGAAACACAAAGAAAACATCAGAGAAGCTTCATACCCAGAAATATATAACACTTCGAAGTTCAGAACCGATTGTAAGTTTATCCATCACTTTTTCCTTACGTCAGGCTTAGCAGCTAGGATCTCTTCGAACTGTTTGATGACAGTTGGTGGAGACATCTGGTCAATCTCAGCTCCTAGTATTGCCAAGGGGACCTTCACCTCTGCAGAGTTTTAAGGAACATTTAGTTTAATCATAACTACAATAGTCAGCTGTTATATTCTGCAGAGAAAAAACTGATCTGATCAGTCTCTGACCTTTTATATCGTCTACCGAGACAAATGAAGGATGGCAAAACACCCCGGCTTTGATGTTGTCTTGTTTTGCAAGTTCAACCACTACCTTGGCTGAGACAAATTGGGGGAGAAACGAAGCAGTGTAACCCATATTACTTGTTCAAAGATCACAGGTTGCAACAAATAACAAGCAAAAGTATAAATATTAAGGTGTACTGATTCCATAAACAGTAGTATCTGATATCATACCACCCCAGCAAAAACCAACCGCTCCAATTGCAGTGATGCCTTTACTTTTCAGGCTCTCGATGACAGGCTTGACATCCTCGAATCCCTTCGCCTGCGTACGAAAGAAAGAGCAGCCAAGCAAAAGCATGAACACTAACAAGTTGCAGGTGATTCTTTTCAAGATGAGCACATTAGGGTTATCCTTCTTCTTTTTATTTTTTATTTTTATGATAAGGGTGACATAAGCACATTAGGGTTATCTTAATCTTAAGCAGATCATTAAGACTAACCGCTCCATGATCTTGCAACCAGATTTGAATGGTCCTCCCTGCGTTATCAGGAACGTAAGGATCTCCATAGAAGAAGTCAGGAACAACCACATAGTACCCAGCAGCTGCAGCCTTGTCTGCAAACTTCCTTCAATTGAAAGAACTCCAAAATCCAAAATCAGGAAACCATTGAAAGCACCAAAAAACAAAGAAAACAGAGACCATCCATGAAAATCCACCACATCCACAAAACGACTCCATTACAAATGCGAAGATTATCCATAAAACTAACATAATCGATTGGGTTCTTTTCAATTGAGGTTTCCATCCAGTTTAGGAGAACAAACATACCTCAAATTCGGAGCATCATATCCTGCAAGATAAATCAAGACCCAAATACACAGAAACCCTCGTCAACCGAAAGCAGAGTTGGGAAATAGAGGACAGAAGAAGAGAAGGGGTTAGACGTATGTACCAAAGATATCGGAGACGAAAACAATGGCGGACTTGGAATCAGGAGAGCCGGCGACGTAGGAATCCAGGCCAGCCACTTTCTCTAGATGCCCAACTCCACTTGATGGGTTCAACGTTGGTGGATTTTCACAGCATTGAGGCCCTGACATCGCTGCTGCTACTGTACTGTGTCACTTTCGTCCGAGGCGATGATCGAGTGAAGCAGAGGAGTTCCCAGTCGTTGCTTCTCACTTGTTGAAGTTGAAAGGCTTATAGATTAAGTCATAAAACAGTATTCAACCGGCGTCAGCGCTGGCGTTGTATGATTCGTCCTGTTTTGAAGAGCTTTAAGCCCAGGGCCTTCAACTCCGTGGCCCATGCTTCAGCTCACAAAGCCCACTGAATTGGTGAGAGAGGCCTGTTGGGCTGAAGTGAATATGGAGCGGTTTCTGCCTACACAAGGGATCCATATCCAAGCATAACGGTTAGGAAAATGCCGTTGAGAAGCCAGGTCATGCCGTCATGGGGAATACCTTACTAATCATCACATTTGTTGTCAAATCTAGAAAGCATCATTTTTGTCATTCCACCTCAGTTCAACTTTATGTATTAAAAATGTTACCATTAGAATTTGAACTTTGGTCCCTCTAAAAAAGAAAGAACATTATAACCAGCTAGGCTACATTATATTTACTCTTACTTCTTTGATTAAATTTTAGCAATATGTTTGGTGATGATGCTTATATATATATATATATGGTGACTACTTCGGTGCACTCACAAAAATGAGTGCGCTCAATGCACCCAACTCAAAAACTAGTCTTAAGGTATCGGATTTTGAATTTTAATTTTTAGAATTAGTGTAATATGATGATATAACATATGATAACAACTAATTAGCGGATTACCCTAAGCCCTAGACTTCCAATTTTGAGTTTTATCCCTAAACCCCAAATTGTAAACCCTAACCCTAACCCTAAATCTCTAAACTCCAAATCATTCAAATTAAAGTAAATCTTTAATGGGTTTTGTGCAAATTCATATGTGTTATGGTTCATTACATCATAAGTGATGATTGACATCATTTTTGACATAAATCGCAAGTTTAAAATGACGGTTATGAAGCGAGTGCACTGAATGCACCCAAAAAAGTGAGTGCACCGAAGACGCCACCATATGGAGGGTGAGAGGTCTCCTTAATTTGTGTTTATGTATTAACGGTGCGTTTAGGACTAATTCTAGTTGGACTGGGTCTGATTATTGATTTCTGCAGGCTTTTAAATAACATTCAAAAGTGGGCTTGTATATTACCCATGACACCTAGTTTGTTGATAATAGATATTGAGTTCCGGATTGTCATTAGGTTTGGGCCTTTCATAATTGTCTATCTCAGTGGCGGTTCTTTGTTTTACTTATTTTCGTCTACTTCTGTTTCTAAAATCCTGATCATGCCTTGAGTTCACGCAATTTAAACATAATTATGTGTTCCATCTTTTTTTGGGATTTGGTAAATGCTAGTGTGTCTCTTTACACATTTAGCGGTACGAGGTAAACTACAATCTGCCCAATTTAACTCTTCATTAATTGAGATCCTATTCCACTATCTCACTGATTGCCCCTCTTAATGCAATGCACTCGTACATAACAAACCTCTTGTAGACTAATTAGAGGCTTGTGGTTGGATACTAAGTGAAGATAATTTTTTTAATTTATGTTTTGAAACGAAAGTTAGAATTTCACTTTTTAAGTACCTATGTACTTTAGTTGGGCAAGTATTTTTAAAATGTAAAATTTTATCAGCGTATAAGTATACGATTGTTGTATATGGTGTTGATGTTAAAGGAAATGGGTACTGACTGCTTAGGGTTAGGTTGTTGATGATATAGAGTATATGGTATATGGGTAGGTTATAAGGTGTTGATGGTTTAGAGCATATGGAATTGATTGGTTAAAGGGTGAGGGTAGGTGTTGTTTTATTTTTTTTCGATTTTATATTTTCTTTATATCTGCTTATAAATGCTGATCATGCCTTATTACTAAAAAAAACTTAGACATAATTATTGTAGCGTGACACATTTATGGGTACGAGATAAAATGATTTGGTGTGTGCAAGGTAGGTTCCTATTATCTATTTTGCCTTGTTGGTTATCCTTGTTGGTGATCCCGGCCATTAGCTATTCGCCACTTATGGAATGTAAATTAGTTAGAGTTATTAACTTCATCTTTTTTCATTTATTGTTTGATTTGAACCTACATGTTTTTGCTCCGAAGGATTTTGTAGTGGCGTGGTAAAGACAATCCGTCCAATTTAATTCTTCATTAATTCCCCCTTTTCCACTCTCTCACTCCCCCACGAAGCAGAAACAATCTACTATGATATATTTACCGTTCATTTTAACCCTTCACTTAATAAGAAAGCGAAATTTCACATGATGATTATAAATGTCATGTAGCTTAATTGGTTAATTGTTCTTTAGTTGCTGAGTTAATAAAGTAGAGGTTTGTGGTTTGATACTTAGCGACTATCAACTTTTAATTTATGTTTTGAACAGAAAGTTATAATTTCAATTTTGAAGTACCTATCTACTTTAGTTGGGCAAGAAAAGTTAAAAAACAATAAAATAGAAAAAGAGAATAGTTATCTATGTGGCATTGCTAGAAGAATTCCTAGTCTAGCAATCTTGCTAGTTTAGAAAGAACTCCTCCATCCCTAAACCATTGTTAAGTTTTTGCCATCTAAGCTCCACCTCATCTTTAGCAATTGCTAAAAGTGGGATGGAGATGGTGACAATCAATAAGCAATTTCTAAAGTGGGCCCTTATCGCCCTTAGGGTTTAGGGTTCAGGGTTTAGGGTTACAATAACATTATCAAATCAGTAGATTAATTTTGGTAAACGAAAAAGTTAGTTAATCTACAAAGCAGTCTAAAAGCACATCCCCATCTCCCACCGTCAATTCCTAAACTTTTCTTTTAATCTGATGGTGAAAGAGCTTCAATCATTGCCGCGGCGTGTCACCCAATCAGATTTCGCCGTTTTCGGAAAGTCGCATTTGCCCATAACCAGTGCTGACGTTACCAAGGCCGAGGCAGCGGTAGGGAGTTTGATTTTCAGTAAAAGGGAAGGGATGGAAATGCAAAGTAATTTTATGAGTCCATTTAGAAATTCTTTAATCGAAGAGACACATAAATAAAATGACACCGCATAAACCAGCAGTCTTCTTATAAACCAATTAGACACATCATTAAAACGACACTGCAGAAGGCAGCAGTCTTCTTATAAACCAAACGACGTCGCTTCAAGCTGACAGTGGCAGTCTTCACATAATCCTAATCCGAATAGGATAAGGACTTCCATCTTCACTTCAAGTTTTCAACACTGATGAAATAGTTGCAGCCCTTTTACACACGTATTCCGAAGAACTCAAATGTCCAAAACTCTGGTCATTAGGTTGCTACTTCTGGTAACTGACCTCTTCTGCAAATTCGATAACGACGATTTTAGTCGTACAAAAATATTGGATGCAACTGCATCGTGTAGACACGAACAATTATATTTTATTCTTACCCTAGGTTGCTCGTAATCGTCGTCATCGTCATTTTCATCATCAGATGGCCCAGACCCTGTACACGTTCTTGCATTATGATTGGTAAAACTGCACTTACTGCAATGTTTTTGCCTTCCCTTAACCATTGCTAAGTTTTTGTCATCTAAGCTCCACCTCATCTTTAGCAATTGCTAAAAGTTGGGGATGGAGTTGGTAAGGTCTTATGGTTTAAAGTGGACCATCTCCATCCCCTTTCATATGCAATTGCTAAAACTTAGGTGGCATGTGTTTGGTATTGCTAATTCAATTGCAAGGATGTGGAGCTAATTGCTAACTTTAGCAATATTGCTAAATAAGCAATTCCACTTGCAATGCCACATAGAATTTTATTTACCTTTTCTATTTTATCTTTATAGTTTATAAATGTTAGTTTTTATAATGGAAGAATTGTTTATACATACATATATGTGTGGCCCCACAATAGAAATGGCTAAAACCTTGCAAGGATGTGGATGACTTGAAAGAGCTATTGCTTAAGTGGTTGATATGGCAGTGGGACCCATATATGACATTGCTAAGTAATTGCAAGGATGAAGGTTAGGGTATAAGGTAGGTAGCAAGGTGTTAATGGTTTAGAGTATATATGATATTGATTGGTTAGGGTATAAGGTGTTATTGTTGTAGAGTATATGGTATTGATTGGTTCGGGTATTAGGGTTTAGGGTTCAGGGTTTAGGGTTACAATAACATATACCAAATCAGTAGATTAATTTTGGTAAACGAAAAATTTAGTTAATCTACAAAGCCAGTCTAAAAGCACATTCCCATCTCCCGCCGTCAATTCCTAAACTTTTCCTTTAATCCGATGGTGAAAGAGCTTCAATCCTTGCCACGGCGTGTCACCCAATCAGATTTTGCCATTTTCGGAAAGTCGCATTTACCCATAACCAGTGCTGACGTTACCAAGGCCGAGGCAGCGGTAGGGAGTGTGATTTTCAGTAAATGGGAAGGGCTGGAAAGACGAATTAATTTTATGAGTCCATTTATAAATTCTTTAATCAGAGAAGGAGAAACCATGCTCCGAAACCCGAGAGGCACTCATCTCCTGCTATTGTTCCTTCCTCCTCCTCTTAATCCTTGAAAAGACCCCTTTCTCCAATCTTCTCAATATGAAACTCTGAAAATCAACCCCATCCGCCTCTTCGTCCTCCTGTCCCATGCTTTATTTTCGGGTGCAGTGGTAATGATGAGACTGCGTATTATTTTAAATCTCAGTTCCTTTCATTATTTCATTGTTAGATCATGACTGTTAAACTAACTCCTTCGTTTTATTGTTTCTTCTTTTCTCTCCATGCAGTGTCTTTGTTAGAGGCAGGGAGGGGAGCAATGATAATAAGTCGCCGTCTGAATATTGCCGAAAGAATCATCATATGTTGTTACGATTCCATAATAGGTGTTGTGGAACCCTACGTCATATGGTGGTTCTTTTGTGCTATATTGACGCGTACATATTGATCATGCTCCGAAAATGTATACAAGAGGGGAAAGTTGCCATATGTATAGTATAAAAGTGGGACGAGGGAAAGTACATTGTTTTGTTTTTCAAGATTTGTACTTTTAGTGTTTGAAATCTTATTAGATCGGCGAGGGATCTTTCAATCAATAAAAAACTGTAGTTTATTTCTTGATTACTGCCTCCATTTTCAGAAGTCTTTTACTATTGGGCCAACAATATTTTTTCCGGATTTCGAACTGTGCCCCTCTGTCGCCGCATGCTCTTGTCATTTCACGCCTAAAATAATAAAGTGAAATGGAAAAAGGAAAATTTTCATTTCATAATTTTAGTAGCCAAAATTAAATAAATTTATAAACAAGTAAAAAATACGATATAATAATTCAATAAAAAAACGAGTGAGAAAAATTATTCAACTGAAATGTTGCACATGATTTATTTAAGGAGCAAACTCCATATCGAATTAAATCAAATCCATCAGAACTAAATAAAACGACACCGTAGAAGGCAGTAGTCTTCTTATAAACCAAAGAGACACATAAATAAAACGACACCGCATAAACCAGCAGTCTTCTTATAAACCAAAGAGATACATAGGTAAAATGACACCGCAGAAGGCAACAGTCTTCTTATAAATCAAACGACGCCGCTTCAAGCTGACAGTGGCCGTCTTCACATAGTCCTAATCCGAATAGGATAAGGACTTCCATCTTCACTTCAAGTTTTCAACACTGATCAAATAGTTGCAGCCCTTTTACACACGTATTCCGAAGAACTCTAGTGTCCGAAACTATGGTCCTTAGGTTGCTACTTCTGGTAACAGGCCTCTTCTGCAAAATCGATAACAACGATTTTAGTCGTACAAAAATATTGGATGCAACTGCATTGTGTAGACACGAACAATTATATTTTATTCTTACCCTAGGTTGCTCGTAATCGTCGTCATCGTCATTTTCATCATTGTCATTTTCATCATCGGATGGCCCAGACCCAGTACACGTTCTTGCATTATGATTGGTAGAACCGCACTTACTGCAATGCTTTTGCCTTCTCTTCGGTACTGTTTCCGACTGATCTTGAGTGGTGGGAGGATCAACATCGGTGTCATCGCCACCGCCACCTTCTTCCGAAACACCAGCATTCGGGGATCACCGTTTGAGGTTGGCTTCACATAGCCAACAGGAAGTGGGCATCGGGTCCTATAGTGGCGCCATTCACCGCAATTGCTACACTGTCGTGGTTCTCCTTTCTTTCTTTTAGATTTTTTAGCCCCCGAACCTTTAGCTTTGACCTGTAATGGATCCAACAAAATTTCATTCGCCTTCGGTCTATTAATGCCAGGTATGTCCACATTGCCAGTGTCCACCATGTCCAGCTTTTCACATAATGATTGAATTCCCTCACGAGCAATCTTGAAGCACTCACTAGATTTTGCCCCTTTTAACATTAGTTGTAAGCTGTTTTGTTGAATAGTACCATACCTGATTGACACAATATTTTACACAAAGTGAGTAAAATCAGCGTTCACCTAGCTTCGAACCAATATGAAAAAAAAAAAAAAATTAAAAGTGATAGTAATGACAAACCTCAATGCGAAAAGTTGCGATTCATCTATTATGTCCGGTTCCTCCAAGATCTCTAGTGTCTTCGGCTTCTTTGACCATCTTCGACGTACTAGGCCTTCAGGAAGTTCCAGTATGCTATCTTCTTTCAGTACAAAAATCATATGACGGCATGGTATTCCCATATAATCGTAGTGATTACAACTACACTCCATTTCAAAGGGTTCTACTGTGTACGTGACTTGAAAAACCTTATCCATGCCAGACACCTTGACCTTGTACACATGCTCAATTTCCAATCGCTCTGACTCCACCCTTATGCAACATGCCGACTTTTCAACCTCGTCTCTGAATAAGAAGAATGCGTTCTTTGTGAAAACCGCCGCTCCACTCTTCTGAAGTGAGGCTAAGACATTGCTTGTGATGGTTCGTTCTCGATGAATGGGTTCAAAATCAGCATGACACTCATTCTCCCTCACATCCCTAGTCCAACGATCAAAGTGAATAAAGAACTCAAGGAGATTTTTATCCTTCTCGATATAATTGGCAAGTTGAGAGTTCAGTCCTTCACATCTTGATGTTGTAATCAAGCCTGCGAAGAACTTCGAACGCAAATATGCATACCCCCATTCATGTCTTTGCTCAAATAAATTGGAGACCCAATTGTTGTGCTGAAGGGAGCATTCCTCAACCACTGATTTCCACTTTTCTTCGAATTCTGAAGGTTCTCAGTCAGCTGACACAAAATGCTTCCATCAGGGCAAAAAAGTAGGATGATTCTTCACATTTCTGGTTATAGTCTTGTCTATATGCCAGGAACATAGACGATGTATTGCATCGGGAAATACTTTCTGAATAGCATTACGCATTGCTCTATCCCCATCTGTAATAACAGTCTTGGGATCTACACCGCCTAGCCTTCTCTTCAAAGCTCCCAACACCCAAATATATTTTTCCTCTCTCTCGTTAGCCAAGAAAGCACATGCAAATATGCAAGTTTGTGAATGGTGGTTGACACCTAAAAAAGTACAAAATAAGTTAGATTATGCAAACTTCTAGGGTTATTTTAGCATGCTCGGGATAATTCTATGTGTGAAGGAAAAGTACCTAAAAAAATCACGAGAGGCATCTTTGTAAATGTTCCTTTTGTAAGTAGCATCGAATGACAGTAATTCTCCAAAGCATGCATAATCCGCAACAGAAATACTATCGGCCCACAAGATGTTAATAAGCCGATCGTCGTCATCCTTCTTTAGTTCAATAACGAAATGATCGTCTGCGCTGCATTTAGCTTGCAGGTAGGCTAGGGCTGTTGCGGCATCACGTTCACTGATTTGTTCTTTCCGCTCTTTGTCCACATAATTATATGCATCCTTCCTCGTGTACCCCAAATTGTCGTAGCCTCCTACTTCTGATACGGCCAGATTCACAATTTGAGAAGTTTTCATACATGCAGCTCTTCTAAAATTTATCGCTGCTTTGACTGCATCACTCATACGACGTTTCCCTTTCATGTAGTGTCTATATTCTCTGGGGATCGTTTCATGTTTGTGTACATCATCAAACTGGTGCACATACCACTTCCCATCGACATTGTCTTGTTTAACACGCATCTTGGCTCTGCAGTTAAATCTGGTCTCCCCTCTTGCTTCACTCTTTCGTTCTGTGCTCTTCATGTGCCTCTTTCCCTCGCCAGAGCATACATAGTCACACCACATCATAACTTTGTTCTTATCACGACCAATGTCTGATTTTCTGATGTCGAAGCCTTTCACTAACCCGTAGTCCACGTAGAAATCATAGGCTTCTTCTGTATCATCGAACTTCATTTTTTTAATATCTTTAGGCTGTAGAAATATGAGATCGGCGACATTATCTTCCAGGGTGGTGTGACTGGCTCCGGCACCAGCGTTTTCTTGGACTGACTCCGACGTCAATAGTAGGACTTCCTCCGACGTCAATGGTGGGTCTACCTCCGACGTCATTGTCACTGCCGAATTAATGCTTGAATGGGCCACTTAATAATTATCCCCATTAATAACACGATTTGTGATATCTTATATTTTTGTAGGAACGAGTTGAACTTTCTATTCTTTATCTTAGTGATTTCTTTACCATTTTCAGAAATAACGAAAATATTTAAAATGAAAAATCTTGCTTAGTAAAGCCAAACGCCAGCTGACTCTAGCTGTGTACTACGTGTATGGGGAAGGATCAAATATTAATATGAGCGAATATTTACTAATAGCACTCAATTTTTTATTCAATCGAAAAAAGTATATTTTTAATTTTAGGTTTAATAACTACCCATGTTTATCCCAAGTTCATGTACCTTAGACTAAACCCTAACTATTTTTCCGCGGGAAAAATATGGCGCCACATTTTATCCTAACCTTGTATATATAATTAATCTTCAGCGGTAGAGCAGTGGTTCCATATCCTTCTTTGCCGCAATTTTGAGTACAGACTAAAGCTTAGAGGCACAACATGGAAAATAGGAGGATTACTCGCTCTTCGTCCAAGCTTGTGGTTTGTATAATAGCTCTTTAACCATTGAAATTCATTCTAGTTAATTTATTAATCGTAGGTTCACTGTCGTTGAAGGAGACCGCCGAATTTGTGACTCCAACAAAGAAACCAAGGATACCCAAAGGTGTAAGCACTCCACCCACTCTTGCTTCAGTCATCGTTTTTATTTCGGACGATGAATCTGACTCTGAGGTAACACCAAAGAAGCCAAATGGAAAAAGTATTTCTCTAAGTTCTGTTGACAAGGTAATAAAGGTGTCATGTTTGCCATTGAAGTGTTCTTTGTCGTTATTCTGTCAGACATAAAGAATGCATTTCGACTCGTGTTTATTTGTGGCCCCTATTCCAGGTTGTTTTGAAGTTTAAGCTACCTACTGCTATGGAATAAGATGATGAGCAAATCTAGCTTGCTCACTTTATATTTTTAGCCAATCTACCACCTGACGAAGTATTGGTCAAAACCTCAAACAACTGTTGTACCAGGAAGTCATTGTGGTCCTTAAGCCCTCGCTCATTCGTAGATGCTGAAGTAATCAACGGAACTCCAAAATTTTGTTTTGTTTGTCCACTATCAATGCTTTCTACGTAGAACTATTTTATAACAACTCGATAGTATCATGAAGTGTTTTTTGTCCATGTTATATTAGGTTATAACAGCGGTGGCCTGCCACTTGACTCTAGAAGAGTTGTGGACAAATTCTAAGGACGGAAAAGGAGTGTGCTATCTGCCTGCTGAACTACAGGTTGTGGTCCGATTATGCTTAAGATTAATTTCCTCTCACAAAAAAAATACAACACATGTTTTTTCAACGTGAATGATATTGTGTTGACAAAATTTCAATTGTGCAACTACCACATGGGCAGGAACTAGTGATTTCATGTGGAAAATACCCAAGAGGGCATTAGACCTATACGAATCAAAATTCCTTAGTCGAACCAATATGGTGAACAAGGTAAACTGTTCGTCTTAATAAGTATTACATGGTTTGCAGTTTATTTTTTTAATACGTGTTGACAATTTCCGCATATGTAGGTGTGTGTTCCGATGAGAGATAATGCCCATTGGTACTTGGCTGTCATTAAGTTGGACAAGGAAGAAGTCCATATCTTGGATCCACAACCAAATGAAGACCGTAATTCCTTTCGACTACAATTTGTTCAAACAATGGTAAATTTGTGACATTGTGCCGTTATAACGCAAAAAAATGTAAATACCTCTTTCTAAGTACAAACGTTTCTTAATTTGTATAGATGAGATTTATGCAAGCCTTGTGGAACATTTTCTATCGTGAACAAGGTCCGGGATTGTCGCCACCAACGATTGCGGAGTTTTCGTACACAAATCCTTCAAAGGATCAAGAACAACTTCATCGGTAAGTATGCCCATTTTTGTGTGATATTAAACAACAGCTTATCAACTTGGTTCTTATCACGCAATGCTTTCATTTTATGTAGGTCTGACAGTGGAGTCTGGGTCTGCATGTGGATGTATGGCGCAAGCTGGGACTCCTCTTATATTTGGGTAAAGACAATTCTAGTTTGCATATTAGAAAACCACACTTGATTGTTATTTTTGAATCATGCGTTAAGCACCATGTTTGTTGATGTTGATAGCCATGCACTCAAGTGAGGAGGATGCATATCGCTTTGTACCTTGTTCGAGAGCCCATGAACTACATAAGGCATATGGTGCTCACGGAAGCAAGAACAGTTGCACCTCAAGTTGAAGCTGCAGTGGAAGAGTACAAGAAAGCCCATGAAAGGAGGAAAAAGGAAAGAGAAGAGCACAAGGAAACCCAGTCAAAGATCCCAAGGACAACTTGATTTTGCGTTTTTTTTTCAAGATGATGGACAACTGTTTATGTTTTTTTTTCTCAAGATGATGGAAAACCGTTTTTGGTTTGGTTTGGTGAATGCTTTCTATATTTGGTTTTTGTTTTTGGTTTGGTTTGTTTATTCGTGGAAATGGCAAAAGGACTTGACCAAAATTCCAGCTTCCAACTTGTGAGTGAGGTTGCTTCTGTTCAAGCCATTGTATCTTGTAGAGAGGTTTAATTGGGATCATATCATTCCACTTCGTTCCCAATTGCCCTCGTCTAATTAAATTTGCATTCATGTATAGTTAACCCAAAAGGTAAAACTGATTGGCTCCCAATCAACATAATTAATGACCAAACCCCGTACAAGGCAGATAGAAAATTCCTAGGTAATTAATTTAATGTTCCTAGGATATGGAAAGGCTTCCATTCCTTGAATTTCCACCAACGATGTATGCACTCCCCTTTTAGTGAGAGAATTCATTGTATTAATAAATACAATAAAAAGTCTTACATAATCAATGAATTCTTTATTGTGTATAATTAAAAGGGTATTTTACTATAAACGAAGCATGATAGATTCACCGGGGGAATAAAAGAAGCACGAGTCTTGATGAAAAAGGGGAAAAACCACCATAGATAAAAAATCATTATAATCAAGCCATATCCATACTATTCACGCCTATCATCGTCACTATACTTGTGACCAAATATAAATAAAACCATAATTTTCGAAAACCATTAAAAAATGAAGATGAAATAAGTAACACATTCTTCGACCTAATTGGAACTGCTTAGAACAAAAGCGGATTAAAATCTCCCCCAATGAAATTCATTTGCAATTTCATAGGTAGTCCCTACTTCCACTTCTATAATTTTGAGAAAACAACACTTCTCAACAACAATGAAAGTCAATTGCAATTTCATCAATAGTCCCCACTCGTGGGCCCATTTCAATTGCAAGCAAATTTGCACCCTTGCAATAGCTTCTCACATCATAGCAATTTAGAGATGCAATTGCACCTCCTTGCCACATCATCTTGCAAGTCACAAAAATTGCACAATTGGAGATGACCATTACTGCATCTCGTCACCTGTCTTAGGGAACTTAGCCATGGAAAATTCACAAAATACTGCATGCATAGAAAAATATTGGCCTGGACAATTCAAAAAATGGGAGACTTTCCTAGTCAGATGATGTACTGGCTCCCCTCAGTACCTGACAGTTTTGAGTGCTGGAGAATTAAGGAAAAGACAAAAGACTGGAAAAAAACCCAACAAAGACTTAGGAAACTTGTTAACAGAAGACATCCATTGCTGGCCCCTTTGCTGCTCCAACGTTCCACCCCGCCCTGCATCAATTGACTCTCATGTAAGCCTAGGAGGTTTGCTTGAGGAGGCCTCAGGGGTCTCTTGATGCTCCGTATGCCGAAGGTCAATAAAAGTATTGGTCAAGTCGGCTATACGGTACACCGGCAAATAAGCGCACTGGTCCTCCTTAACATAAACCCCCATATCCATCCCAACCCTTTCAAGAAAGGTGGTCACGAAGGTGGCATATGGAAAGGCAGTGTACTAGTTTTCCCCTCTAGGAGCAGCCTCAACAATGTTCAGGCACATCAGAGATGCGAGGTTAACAGGAACACCTCTTTGAGCTTGCACAAGGATAAACAAGTCAAGTTTACGAATAATCGAATGACCACGGTACCTTGGCAGGAAGCAGTTGACGATCATCCAGTGGAGGAATCGAAGAGGATCTAGGAGGAAAGAAGCCTTGATGCGCCCCTTTGTGAGTTTCGCCAGTTCAACTTCAAACTCAAAATCGTACAGCCGCCCAAGATCGCTTATGCTCTCAATGGGGTGTCCTCCGGCGGCGAGATCGAGGATCTCAGCTAACTGATGAGGCTGGAGGCAGACTCTATGTCCCAGGAAGATCGACACGAGATGAGAATCACAGGGACCAGAAAGCTCTAAATTGTGGTAGAACTTCCTCACCACATGGGGGCGGTAACTGGTGCTTCCTCGACTCCGGAGATCAAAGAACTTTTGTAACACCTTAGGCGAATCCCACATCGACAAAGCAAGGGAGAGATCCATGGTTCATAAGTAAGAAACCGACCTTAACTCACAAGACGCGTTTTGGGGTGAAACGGAGGAGTTCTTGTGAGAACTCCGAAGTTAAACTTGCTCAGTGTGGGTACAACAAGGATGGGTGGCCTTATGGGAAGTCACCCTGAATTGCACCCCAAGTCAAAATCCGTGCGGGTGTAGAGGCCCAAAGCGGACAGTATCTTATCAGGAGAAGGTTCGGGATGTTACAACTTTTCCTAGCCAAGATTGTTCATTAACTTCTTCACTTCTTGAGGGAAAGGACTTAGGTGGATGAACTCGTACTCGGACACAATTGCTGTTTTGCTTGTAAATGAAAGATAGTCACCGAGACTGGCGGTGGATCGGCAGTCTTCAATTGATAGAGATAGTATCCCCATTTCCGCAAACGATTTACCTTTGTTTGCCATGGAGTCTGGAGGAAGAAGGAACAAGGAAAGGTGAAGATGGAGGAAAGAGAGAATGTAGGTGTAAGAAAAAGTGATCGTGGGGGTTGAGTCCAGAGACGTGAGTGTGATGGAGACGGTTGAGTCTGGAATATCAAGAGTTAGAAGATTTCGGAAGATATGTAATGATGATGGTAACTCGTGTAGGTTAAACCAGGGTAAGTAAAGCTAGTTAAACTAGGGTTGGCGCACGAATTGATACGACAGGAGAAATGGAATGGGCTCGCACGTTCCAGGCCCACTTTTGAATATTGTATGGATCATGTACAAGCCCACGTTTGAATGTTATTTAAAAGCCTGCAAAAATCAATGATCAGACCCAGTCCAACTAGAATTAGTCCTAAACACACCGTTAATATATAAACACAAATTAAGGAGACCTCTCCATCCGATTCAAATCAAATTCTATCTTCTTCATCTCCTTCCTCAATCCTCTGGGCGAGACGAACACTACATATCAGGAAACCTTAATTTCACCGAGTGATAGAAGTTTTGAGAAAATGACAATAACGCTAAGACAAGATGACAAAGCACTAGCGACATGAACCCTAGGGTTAGCAAACCTCTTTCAAGGGTTCTTTTGCAAATGAAAAGTTTGATGAACACAATAATAGATATGGTCGCCATAATCGTGTTAGAAAGAGATAGGCGAGGGAAATAAAATGGCGAAGAACAAAAAAGACAAAATAAATTGGGAAATTCAATCTACGTCGAATGTTGATGCAAGTAATTGGGATTCAAAAAGATGATTAAGTTGGCGAGTTCAAATTGGATGGGGAGCTTCTCTTGGAACTGTGAAGGGGCGTCTGATAGCATCGTATTTGCACGTGTTTTCACTCTGGTTTCCTGTCCATTTCAGCTTGAATTGATTGTTCCTTGGCCTATTTTACGCTAGGTTGTGTTGTTTTTCGTATTTCAGGTCCTAGCAAGTAAAGAGGTGCATAGGCGCAAGTTTCGGGTCATTTGGAGGTCAGATGGTGATTCACAGGACAAATTACGGGCAGCCCCTGCCAAATTACGATCGTAATTGGTCAGGGCATGCCCGTAAAACCAATGCCGAGCCACTTTTCCCAAGAATTCTTCTCGGCACTAAAATTACGGGCAAGCATCCACCAAATTACGACCGTAATTAATGAAATACTGGCGGTAATTATGAAATTACGGGCGTAGCTCCTCTTCCATCAGAGTAAAGTGAAACGCGCGTTTTGGGCGAATTACGGGCAAGCCGTGATTACGGCCGTAATTCTGCCCGTATTTCGCCCAGAGTCGGGTTTTTGAAGGCATATTCGAGCCAAGGAAGAGGATTCGGATTTCTTGAGCAAAAACAGAGCCCTAGAGAGATAAAGGACAAAGAACACATCCTAGAAGCTATCTTGGAGCTGGGTTTCATCAAATCAAGCTTGGAGATCGTCATAGGAGTGGAAATCATCATCCCAGAGCAGATTCTTCCCATAAGTATGAGTATGACTGCTTTGTATCTTGTTTTCCTCTCTCTCTCTCTATGGAGTAGAACCCCTCTCTCACTTGGGGATGAAGAACCCTAGTTCTATGTGTTAGGGATTGATTGTAATGACTTGGGATGAGATTACTGTTTGATTTTAATCGAATGATGCATGTTTATTGAGTCAATTGAAGTCTGATCAACTTTTCCTGATTCCTGCTGCAATCTGAGATAGATAGAATCTGATTAGGTTGCTAGAGTCTCATCATTCGGTTGTAGGAGATTGGCTATACGAGAGTTAGCCAGTTTACTGCTTTGTACTGGAATCTAATTCCAGTAGTGGAGTTCTGTTCTTACTGCTTCAGCTTTCTATCCCGGTGAAGACTAGTCGTCTGCCGGGTAGTTAGACTGAGAGGGCTTGGTCAGCTTAAGAGATTCCAAGCTACTGTCGGATCTTCCGCAGTCTAATCAACAGTAAATCAACCCAGGGAAATACAATTGACGCCTAACTAAGGAGCTAGGGGGACTCATTCCCGAGTGACTCTTACCTGCTTGAGAAAACCGTATCAATTCCTGCTTTCTTTCTGCTTTTGCTTTTACACAACAAACACTTCACTTAGTTGGCTAGATAATAGAGAATCACTGAGTAAGCAGTAGATCTAGACCCCGGGTTGATAATATAACTTGTCACTTTACTGCATTCCCGGACTGCGATTATACTTGGTCGCAGTTTGGTGTTGTGTTTTAAAGCATCAAGTTTTTGGCGCCGTTGCCGGGGAACCCTCTAGGTTATTGGGGAAACGTAAGAATTTGTTACTCTAGCTTTTTATTTACTGCATTTTATCTCTTCCACCTGTGTGCCTTCACTGGTTGCCTCTGCTGATTGTGTGCAGGTAGTGCATGACCCGTAGCCAGTCGGGAGATCTACTACCACTAGACCAGGAGCTTGAACGAACCTGCAGAAACTTCAAGCGGGCTCTAAAGGCGCGACTGGCTGCGGAGGAGGCGCTAGCACAGCTACATGATCACTGAAGAAGAGGAGATGGCTGATCCACAGGGCCATGATGTGGTCAATCCCGAGGAGCAGACCATGGGACATTACTGGACCTCCAGGGCTGCAGACATGAGGTCACCCATTCAACACCCTCACGTCCCAGCCAATAATTTTGAGGTGAGCACCTCAGTCATCACCATGCTGCGCGGTTCGGTGATGTTCCGTGGCAAAGAGGGGGAGTGCCCCCGATCACATCTCAGGCGATTCCATGAGCTCATTGATGGAATCAAGATCAATGGGGTCCCAGCAGATGCCATCCAGCTGAGATACTTCCCATTCACCCAGGAGGGGCAAGCCAAGGAGTGGCTAGATACTCGACCTCCGGGCTCTATCACCACGTTCGCCAACCTGGCGGACAAGTTCCTCACCCGCTACCATCCTCCATCCAAGACAGCTGACCTGCAGAAGCAAATTACCCATTTTGCTCAGGATGAGGATGAGACCATCAGGGATGCTTGGGAGAGATACACCAGTCTTTTGCTCAGGTGTCCCAATCATGGTTTCAATGATGTGTTCAAGGTGGGCACCTTCTATCATGCCCTCTTCCGGGAGGACAAGCAGCTGATTGATTCGGTTTGTGGCGGGAACATGCTGACCAAAACACCGCCACATCTGAATCAACTCTTTGAGGAGATGGCGGAGAACGAGTACGATTGGGGCACTGCCAGGAGATCGAGACGAGCACCAGGACGGGGTGTGCATGCTGTGGGCACCCAGTCATCTGATTTGGTACAGGTGGTATCGAAGCTGGTCTCAGCTATCGATCGTTCTGGTTTGATTGCAGATACAGGACAGCCGCAGGCGATGCACTGCCAGTGGTGTGAGAGCTCCCATCACACCGTAGAGGACTGTCAAGCGATGAGGGAATCGTCTACTACCCAGGAGCAGGTGGACTTTATTAGTAATGCCAGGCGCTTCGACCCCTACAGCAACACTTATAACGAGGGGTGGCGCCAGCATCCTAATTTTTCTTGGGCTGGGGCAAATCCCAAACCACCAGCTCCCCAGGGACCACCTGCCTTCCAGAGGCCTCCGTACCAGCCCAGACAGGGGCAATTTCAGCAGCCACAACAGCCACTCTACCAGCCCAGACAGGGGCCAGTTCCACCTCAGTCACAGGTGCGACCATTTCAGCAAACAGGGGCAGCACCTGTAGCTCCAGTACAGAGTGACTCGATGGCGGAATTGAGAGATTTGGTGGGTTCTCTGGCCACCTCCAGTGCAAACAAGTTTAATAACATCGAGCAATTCATGGAGAAAGCTTCAGGCAAATTCTTGGAGCTTGAAGCTGGTCAGAGAAATACACAGGCTGTGCTGCGAGACATACAGACCCAGCTTGGGAGTGTTGCCCAGGCTGTAGCTCAGAGGACTCCTGGTACCTTGCCTGGTCAGATCATTCCTCACCCGCAGGATCCGAATGCCAACTGCAGTGCCATCACAACCAGGAGTGGCAAGGTGACTGCCGATCCACCTGTTCGGGCAGAGGAGAGAGAGACCCCTGCTTCGGCACTTCCAGCTAATCAGGAAAAAATGGAGAAGGAGGTTGAGGTGCCTGCTCCTAAACCGCAACCAGTGGTGAAGGAGTATGTACCACAGCTTCCCTTTCCTACTCGGTTGCACAAGGACCGACTGGAGACTGAGTTTGCCAAATTCATGGCAATGCTGAAGCAGGTAAACATTAGCATGCCCTTCATGGAGGCATTATCGAAGATGCCCAAGTATGCCAAGTTCATGAAGGATCTCCTCACCAACAAGAGGAAGCTTGGGGAGCTGTCAACGGTGATGCTCAACGAAGAGTGTTCTGCCATCCTGCAGAACAAACTACCATAGAAGCGAAAAGACCCAGGGAGTTTCACTATCCCTTGCATGATTGGTAGTTTGCATGTAGGGAAGTCCTTGGCGGATTTAGGCGCTAGCATAAATGTCATGCCTTATAAACTGTTTAAAAAGCTAGGCCTAGGTGAACCCAGTGATACTAGGATGAGCATTCAACTTGCTGATAGATCCATTGTGCATCCTAGGGGTATAGCAGAGGACTTGATAGTCGCAGTAGGGCCATTTTCATATCCTGTTGATTTTGTGATTTTGGACATAAATGAGGATGTTGATGTGCCATTGATACTGGGTAGACCTTTTCTCGCCACCGCCAAGGCGCTTATTGATGTTAATGATGGAAAACTGATTTTGAGAGCTGGGGGTGAACAAATCACCTTCTCT